TTGATAGATCAATTTATTGAAAAGGTTCAATTATTTAGAGACAGATTAAAAACAGCTCTAGACCGCCAACAAAAATCTAATGATGCTAAGCATAAAATGATAGAATTGAAGTGGGAGATTTTCTATTCTTGAAGGTGAGACCAATGAAAGGTGTTTCTAGATTTGACTAAGGTGGAAAACTCAGTCCTAGATATATTGGTCCATTTGAAATCATTGAAAGAATGGGACAAGTATCTTACAAGCTAGCATTGCCTACAAACATGCCTGATGTTCATAATATTTTTCATATATCAATCAATGCTTAGGAAATGGATCACAGATGAAATTCTGAGAGTTTCTCATAAAGACATTGAACTTCATAAGGATTTGACATATGTGGAAGAATCTAAAAAGATATTAAAAAGGGATGTTTGTAAATTGAGAAACAGAATGATTCATTTTGTTAAAGTAAAGTGGAAACATAGGTCAGTGAAACAGACTACATGGGAAAAAAGAGGATGACATAAGTCAGAAGTTTTCGCACATATTCAAAGAAGTATGAAAGTGAATTTCGGGGACGAAATTCAATAAGGTGGGAAGATTTGTAAGACCCAAGCAACTAATAAGGTGACGTGCTAAATGTATAAATTTGTATAAAATTCAAATTAATTTATTAACTATCTGTTAATGAGATTAATATTAAATATGTAAAATTAATATTGAATATTGTTATATTAATATCAACAAATATAGTGACTGATTTAGTATTAAAGCCAAATAAGATAATTATTAATATTCTGAATAGATGCTTGGATTGGTAATAGTAGTTATAGCTTGGGCCCACACTCTAAACCTTATCTAGTTATCTGCATGGATTAGTGTTGTCACGGAAGAGAGAACACTGGTTGAACAATTGAAGTGCAAGAGGGACTATTCTTTAATTCAGCTGAATGTTCTCTCGGGACTGTAGAAGAAACCGCAGAAATGGACAGGAAATTCGCAAATTCCGCTGTAGCAAGAGGCGGAATTCTTCCTGTAAGCAGAGGGCAGCGCTTAGTACAAAGTCTGAAGGAAAAATTGCTTGCTTTGTGAATGCGGTATAAGGCAAGTGGAATGAAAGGAAAATAGAGAAATAACCGTAATGCAGAATTGAAGGAAAGAAGGAAGTGATAGAAAAGGTTTTGTTGGTCTTATGCAAAGAGAAAATTTTGAGGTGGCATACAATCGTAGAAGGGTGCGAAGTAGATCATTGGAAGAGACGACTAGACAAGGATGTAAGTGATGCAAGTATTTTTTTGTATATATATTATCATTAAACATGTACAATGCTTTTAATGGCACTTTGGAAAGTAGTCTTGAAGGTAAATGAATTGATATTATACATGTTTGATCAACCTTTTATGAAAGGCTTAGAAAAGGAATATACTTACAAGTTTCCAAATATGATTAACCA